TTTCGTGTGACCGAACGACAATCGAATATAGGACTAGCTGCGAACTCGACCCTGACCAAATGCAAATGGAATAAGAGCTTGGACTACTTTCGTATAATATGTTGTAGATAAATTTATATATAGTGCCACCGACCGACTGTATCGTGTTGTCCGAAACGCTTTCGTTCAAGGTGTACGGTTCGTAAGGATAAGACACATCATCAGTGAATTCAAACAATATATTAATATATAATATGCGCGCTAACATAACATTATACATATTTTATAAGTATTATAGCCTAAGTCCTATTGTACAGATCCAGAGATAAATTGAAAATAAAATTACGTTTTATATTGTTCTGTCGAAATTTAATAACGCTACTCCCACGTGCAGAGTTAACGGTGTGTAACGATGATATATGTGTATTTTATAAACAAATATAATAGTATCGTATCTGTTACATATCGCCGTGAAAAACATGGCGGGTCCCGTTTCTTTGGTGTCAAACTTGTACTCGCATATACACGCGACGCGGTTACTGTTTTATTTCGATTAAAGTTTCACAGAGTCTTACGCTTTTACGTTTGTAAATCGACAGTGACAAAACTTGAGGTGCGAGATGATAATAATATGATTTACCCAGGCAGGTACACGTACGATAACTTTGAACGTCTATACATGCGAGAGCAACGACGGAAATGAAAAACAATCTTCGTGAAACAATCGTACCGTAATCGTGAAATCACTTCGATTGAAATCGCCAGTCAGGAAGTATTTTAAAGCTACATAATATTGTAGAACGTCTTATAATATACTGACGAGTGGATAATGTGTAATGTGCGAATGTGCGGCATCACAATGAGGCTGTAATTGCGACATAATAATAATATATCGTTTGGCTTGATATATACAAAATATAATATACATGTGGTGGTATACGATTTTTCCGGATATGATATTGCAAAACGACAGCGATTGTAAATGTAAAATGTTCTCCGGACAAATCCAAAGCATGATATGTTACATTCATTTCGATTTAGGTGCGTTTTTCTAGACCAAATGTACTCATCATCTCCAGTTTCTGCACTTATACAGTACGAGTTATAGAGTTTGACTCGGTGGGCTAAAACGTATTTTGGTAGATTAAGTATTAAATTTAATCGCAGTAACCCATTTTAACCGGTTTTCGGTTAGTAAAAAGTCTAAAACTCGGTGTGCCGATACTATTATAACCTATCTGACACTACGAATTTTATAATATCATATCTAGACATATGCACTTCCGCGTACAAACAGTTTTTGCACTTATATATTATATAAATATATATAGTTATGCCAAGGAGAGGGGGGGGAGCAAATGGGTGGCAAATGTTAAAATATGTATAGGGGTGCCAAATATTATTGCCCTGGGGCGCCAATGAAAGTTAGCGCGTGCACAACACAGCATACGTGACTACGGTACTATCGAAATTTTTACGATCATCAATGTGATGCATCGTAAGCTCCCACGGCGTATGTGTCCCGTGCAATCCCATCAGAGCAACTGCAAAGACCCAAAATCGCATTTCTCGTAAATATATAAGCTTATTGGTTAATGGTGATGAAATCGGAATATATGTCCGCGTGCGACACAAACAAAATATCTTCAAAGAAAACTGTATATAAAAATTTAAGCCCTGCTGCCTGCAATCTATATCAGTACTTTAATATTATCAAATATTTTGTATACTATTACTAGCTGTTTGCATACCTCGAATAGGTAGGTGTCGTGATCTGGCGCGGTGTACCGTAAATCGTGATGTAATATTGTATAGTCCTTCATCATTACCGTGATTGCGGTACAACTCGTGTCGGATCATAAACTCCGGGGCTCCGGAGAAAAGACAATTCAAAAGTCTCTCAAAAGAAGACCTTATACTTATATATATTAAGCAAATACAAATTTATCATAAGCTACGCATACGGCTATATTTAAAATTTAAAATAAATCTTTAGCCGTCCAAACAATCCATATAATTTTATTATATTACTATATTCTTTACTCTATGTCTATGCATACAATATTATTCTAGTTCCAAGATTATAATAGTATATCAACTATAGTCATCTGCACGCGGCACTTTGTTATTTTGACTATGTCATTTACGATAGGTACTTTGATATCAATAATAACATCGGGTCCTTGTACTGTTCCAAAGCGACGGGGTCCCTGCAGTGCAAGTGCACCGTTTTCGCCAGAGGTTTAACTGGCACTATGGGTGCCGTACTACCGCATAAATGTATATAATGATGTAGCGCATTGTGGACGCGAACAATTGGGACTAACAAACGCGTATTGTTTTCAAATATGTTTTTTCATCTCGCGCTCGACGTGTCGCTATATGTATATTTTCGATTTTCTATACCACCCACATAACATTGCAGTCTGATTGTGAAGATTTTTTTTTGTATTGAAGTACCCACCGTTATTGCTGTACAGCATCAATTTATGTACCTACTATACGTCGTGTTACTTATAGTTGTAGTAGGTACCTGCTAAATTTTACGATCCTGACTAAATGGCAGTTGTGGAACAAATGGAAGACAATAATAATAAAAGGTAAACAGTTCTATTTATAAATGACTAGTTCGTTAGTGCAGTTTTTGATAATAAGTACGCGTTGTGTCAATTGTTTCTATTTGTTCATAATAAAACAATCAGCAACAACACAGATTCGCGTAATAGCTTAATCTGCAACACGTATTATAATTTATAATAGCCGAGTAATATCATTTACTCCATTGCGGCTGCTTGTATATCAGTGTATAATAAGCAGCTTATTACGGTGTGTTTATAAAATAAATAATAACCGGTATCGTAATAAACGAAAATGTCAAAATCAAACTAATTATGCATCGTCGAGTTATAAATAAAATACAATTTATATTTAAAACAAAAATAAGATGTTTAATATGTATATAATTGACAATATTATTGATGAAAACATATAATGAAAACGAATTATATATTATTATACTATTACCGTGTGAAACTCACAAGTGCCAAGTATGAGGGGCTAATGAGAAAACAAATTAATCATGTCACTTTATATATTTTAGTTTTACTGAAACGTGTAAAATGAAACAACGTTTTCATGAGCTGACGAGTATTTCATTCTCTATCTAGTCTCTCTACTTATATATATATATATTATATAATTCACCATTACACACGACATAATAAAAGGAACTCAAGTCTACTAAAACCCGTAACTTTATTATATACAAACGTAAAGTGTTGTAAAGTTCTTAACAAGGCACATTTAGGAATACAAATGTACATCAAACAATATAATATATATATTATAAAAAAAAAATACAATAAATAAATACAAATATATATATATATATAGTTGTATCCAAGTTTTTTCCGTTGAAATGGGACGAACGTAATTTGATTTTTTATTATTATTGTTGTTTTTCCTTTGTTGTGTTTACCGCGTTTCAGTCGAAACGTTCAAGATGTGAAACTTAGGTATAAATCGTCTAACCTTCTCCGGGTCGGACAAGCAATTAAAATTTTTTTTTTAAGTTGATTAGCGTGTCATGAGTACACAGCCCAGTTTTTATGTTTATTTTTTTGATCCAGCATAATCTGGATAAGAATGTGGAAGAATTTCGAAATTTTAAGAATACACATAAAAAAGTTTAAATTGCATATTATACAATCATATTTTAGGGTTTAGAATGTATGTTAAGTATTTTTCATATTTTTATCGCATTTATTTTGTTTAAGTATTCTATATGCTTGCCGTCCATAGCTAAAGTATTTGTTCAGAAATTTCTCATGACTTTATTTTTTACCACCTTAACCACTTCCCACACACCGTTGTCAAACATTGGCATCAAATCATTTTTTCTCATTTTACACATATATTATTTTAATATAATCAAATGAGAAAGATAAATTTAAGACAGGAAATTAAACACGTGTATGTAACTATAAGATCGTGTACAATGTACAATGGACATTATTTATATTGTATTACAAATAATTTTTATTTACCTACCTACTACTTTTACAATTTGAAGGTAGTTATAAATATAAATTAATAAAATAATTTATAATAATTTATGTCATATTATTTTGGGGGACATTTAAGTGACTATACTGATTCATAGAATCGTCATATTTAAATACTTCGTATTGGGTACTGAAGTACTATGATTAGGACTTGACTTTTAAAAGCTTAAAACTTTAACTTTAACTTTTAAATAAATTATTAGAATTCTGTTAAAGATAACGAACGTAATAGTAGAACCTGTCATATAATAGACCTATGTGTAAGTCGTCTAATTTTGACCGATGACTTACACTATTGGATAAGTATCTTACTTATAAAAATAAACCATTTTCGTTCTGTTACACTCAAAATAGACGGAGAAGACAGATTCTATTTTTCAGTTCGTCTTCCGAACTGGCACAGAATATATAAACGACGTATGATAGCGTTAACATAAAACAAAATAATGATAAATCAATACATTCCTAAAGATAACAATGTAGAAATGTTCAGAATACAAGTCGTATTTTATAATTTACATTTTTCATACAAAATATTACAAACACTAGCCGTGTCCAAATACCGTACTATTCAATCACTATTTGAATAGTTATGGATTTAACAAAATAAAATGTTTACATGCGTACCTACCTAACTATTATTAGTACCTACTATTAATGTACCTCTAGTGAGAATAATGACATATTTCAACAGAAGAGCAAATAAACTTTCGATTTATTAATTATTGCAAGTACTCTCAACAAACACTAATACCTTGCTATTTTTTCACGAGTTTATCAATAAGGATCTTATACGATGATATAGTTTTTATTATTAGGCGGAACACGATAAATTGCATCATATTTTTTATTTTTTATCGACACACGTCATAATAGTCAAGTCTCTAAAATAAAACGAGCGTTAAAACAAAATTCTAATAAAAATGAAAATGAAAAAAACTTTTTTCGTTTACACAGCGGCAGCGTTGAGGGCGGTCACCACCATCACGACCAGCTGCAACCACCATCGTCGTCGTCCGACCCGGCTGACGTGACACGGCACAAGATCGTGGTGATGGGCGCGGCGCGGGTGGGCAAGTCGTCGCTGATCACGCAGTTCCTGTACCGGAAATTCTCGTCCAAGTACAAGCGAACAGTGGAGGAAATGCACCACGGCCAGTTTACGGTGGACGGCGTGAAAATCGACCTGGACATACTGGACACTTCCGGCGCGTACGAGTTTCCGGCCATGCGCGCCCTGTCCATATCGTCGGCGGACGCTTTCGTGCTGGTCTACTCCGTCACCGACCCTGATTCGTTCCAGCAGGCAGCCGCCATCAGAGATCAGATCATCGACACCAAGCACACGGCAGACGTCCCGATCGTGGTGGTCGGCAACAAGCTGGACTTGGCCAATTCCGACCGGAAGGTAAATATATTGCCCTTATATAATAATATTTCGATTTCAACTATCAATTAATTAAATTATTATAATATAGTTCATAAATTATGAATATTTATATTATTTTGTACAATATACGGTGGGTACATGTAGTCATGACATTTCACTGGCAGTTTCGTTCAAAGGCCCATCATTCGTCCAAGTTTATATGACCTTTTGGCGGATTGCAAAAACAATAAATCGTGTTGATTTGTATCGGAAACAATTTGTGACGTGAATATAGGCCGTAAAGCACGATTCCGTACCTTTTTGGGAAAACGATTCTGATCAAACAATGGTTTGTCAAAATGACCCCCAAAACAACACGGTTAAGTACGATTTTCTGTTCAATTTTGCCATTTATTATTATTGTAAATTCGCTTAGTTTTCTTGAATAATAACGTTGTAAAAAAGTTTAAAAGTTAAAAATTTGTCAATTTGTATAAAAAAAATATGTATCTATATTATTGTGGCCTACGTAGGTCCACAAAAAGGTCGTAGTTCCACCAATTTAGTAGAGACATCTGAGCACTTATCATTTCAGCTGTTATTAGCGTATAAGCAATATATTTTTATTTAGTGTTTAATTGTTGTTCATCGACGATACAACTTTTTAAATTGTTTTATTTTACTGTGTATAATATCTTCTATTCACTGCACAATAGCGGCTGAGGTAGGTATGTAGTGTTGCGCAATAATCACGTTCACCTGTACAAAAAACATATTTTATTTAACACCAATTATATTATGACGTTTTTTTTTCATTAAACAATAATTTCCATGAGAATAATCCCCCATCGACTTTGTTTTGTGTATGCTCCGAAGCAGCCATACGTGTACCTACCGTATGACGTTTAGTCACCATCACTCACCACTGCACAGGATGTGCGTATCAGAGATTTTCAACAAACGATAATGTGTCCACCTGTGTAATTCTCAGAACATACTCGAATCGATTGTTTTTTTTTAAATGCATCATAAGCCTCGAGTATGTGCCTCTTCGTTGGTGCATATTATATTATAAATTAAACAGAGGTTTACTACTGCAGCGACACTCGTACGCGCTCCTGGTTCGGTTCGCGATGCACTTATTTCCGGCGATGCATTTCTTATCCGTAATAACTACAATCTGCATTCGCCCCAAGCACGCAATCTGAATATAGACCACACAGGGCACATTAGGTACACGTGCCATTCAAAATTGTGTACGTAAAATTATTAATTATAGGCTGACTCGCTAATATAATATTATCATAGGTATAGGTATAGTTTATAATACACGCGATGGTATCTATCAACAATATTTGTATAATATTATATCGCTCAACCAAACTCATAGCTAATAATGATATTGTAATATGATCACAAATATACCTACGATGTATATATTATTATAATATTATATTATGCGATCGAAGCACTTAATATAAGCTTGTGTACGAGCATGTCACAGTTTGTTCTCGTACTGTAAGACCCGCCCGTCAACTTCATGACGCGTTATAATATCTATCCTTCACATCATACCTGTCTAAACTTTATTAAGACTTTTATAATTAGTATTTTTGAATATTTAATGGAAATTAACAGTTTGGCTTATACGTATCAATTAGTTCTATGTACATTGACAGACTGGTTTCGAAGAGACGTGTTCACCTGTATGTAAATTATTTTTAAAGTATCTATTTGGTTGAATTTTGGAGAAAATTGGACAGCACGTGGGGTGGGGATGAGCGGTAAACTACACAGAAATTCTTTATTAGGTATTGGAACTTGGTGTTAAAAATGTCGACATGCGGATAATATTATATATTTTTATTGTTTTCGAAAATTTTGGATTATTCTATTTTGTCTGTGTGAAATGTCGATATAATATTCAACACAAATGAACAATGCAATTTAATTTGCAAGCATTTCGTACGGTGTATTTTTATCTCCGGAGAATAGCTTTACGCCTTCACGTATGGCAACGAGTGACGACTGAATCGAATAAATATATATTTTTTTATCAAACACTTGCAAATTGTTAACTTGAATCAATAAATCCTCGTGAAATCTACTATCAATCAGTTTCAAGCGTCTAAGCCTACTCTTGCTATCTCCTGACACGCGGAAAGACGACCACAGATATTCGTCTCTAAACGCGACAAGACACAAAACCAAAGACGACGTTATGTATATAGTAGGTGCGTGAAGCTTGAAACGATCCATTGTCGCACGTAGCAAAATACTTATACAAACATCCATTAGCAAGAGGTTTAAAAATATAAATGGGATTGTGACAGTGAAAAATAATTTTAAAAACACAAAAGCGCATGATACATTATAATACTTGTAATAGTACATTCGCAAATTGTCTTCGTACTAAAAAAAAAAATGTCACACTGTAGAGGTAGGTATACCTAATAAGTACAACGCATAATTATTAAACTATTTATGTGCATAAGATGTAATGGGTACTTTATTAAATATTTTAGAACCTGTTTTATAAGGTACATTTATCAGTGAGAGATGTTTATAATACAATATTGCATAACAGTCATAACATGTCGTTTTAATATTTGTTTAAAAATTACTGTAAAAAAAAAATGTCCTAGCTCGTGACTAAGATTGCGTTGAAAACATCTTTTTTATTCCTAACTTATCAAGGTTTATAATATTTTATGTTTATTGTTAAAAGAAAAATTAATAAAACACCCGTGACATTTATTTATAATTTAATATTTATATGTTTACTGGATAATATTAAGTAAGTAAATCGTTTAAAGTATTTAATATTTGTTTTTGATACCTTAAAGATAATTTAAAACCGTATGCAGTACATTATAATGTATATTAGGTAATACAGTTATAAATTGCAGCCTTGTTAATCGTAACAAAAGCTATAATTTATATTTCAATGATTTTCAACTACTTCATTCACTCTTGATGAACCTACTATTATAATAATAATTATTAATATAATTAATAACACTATACTAATTAACAAAGATCTCGTAATGAAAATGTAAAATCATGACCTTCAATAGTTTGTTGAGGTTGACTTACCTTATTTTAATGAATAAATGATAATATTCATTTATTTATATTTATACATGAAAATAATAATGATACAAACATATAAACTAGAGTTTTAGAAGGTTGAATACTTTTGGTGTTAAAAATGTAATATATTTCATTATCCCAACTCAGATCGCGTAAGTTATAGAGCTTCTGAAAATTAAAAATATATTTAGTTGGTTAGCCGCAGTGACAAAAAAGTCAAGAGTGGTATCATTTTAAGTTATAATTTATGCCACAGACACGCCTTAATGACACAAGTTAACTGTAATAAGATTAACAATAAAAATGTTCGAAATGAAAACAATAAATTATAAATTCAATTTTTTTTAGGATAAACTGTTTCATGTTTGAAGCAGCTATAAGCCACGTAGTGACGAAGAGCATTAAATATGGCGCCAAACAGATCATAATATTGTAAAATTCATTATATTATCATCTATACATTTCTAAAATGTATACATACATACTAATTTTATTAAACAGCAAAATAAGTTTTACTTTTTCCGGACATAAATTCACAATTTTAGTTATTTTTTATTTGGGAAACAACACCAATAAATCTCTTTTATTATTACTGTTTTATTTTTTCTTGCAATGACAAGTGTCTAGTTTATTTGCAATGAGAATGTTTTACAGCAGTATATTATGCTATTTTAGATTTAGAGCGAGAGCAAGAAAACAATTGTTTTTGAAATAATGTATATTGTTGTTTTATTTTACATAAAAAAACACTGCGAAAGTGCTCAAAAGTTATACGTATCCTTTTTATCGATTTTTAATGCTCAACATACAACGTGTTATTCTAGCATGAAATAATTTCGAATTCAATTACAATTTTTCGAATATTATAAACAATAACAACACGTCTCGATAACATATGAATTTGGTACTCGGTATATTCACCAAAGTATCCGTATGCATTCATTTTTAATCGAAAGTAAAATTTGATAAAACATACCAAACCTTGTGACCCATCATCAAGTAGATTGCCAATGAATCAAATGTCATATTATTTATTTTATTTTCTGAATAATAATTATTACGCAGTATTTTTATACCATGTTTAATTGTGTGTAATATTTATGGGTGGCTTTTATTATGTACCATAATAGGTTACATTTTAGACTTTTACTGAACAGATTATACCTACTTATTATGAGCATATGTTAAAAAAAAAATGTTGTTATAAAAATATATTGTACAATTTTATTGTTTAGTTTTAAATTTTAATAGACCTATTTTATAAAGGAAAACTGTGAACATTTCGAAATAGGTATTGATTATAATATACATGTGGCATGCGGTACGTTAAATTATGTAGCTAGCAAAATTAATTTCTTGTCATTTGTTTCAAGAGCTTATAAGAAATGTCAACGATAACACAGTTGTAGCAATTGTGTAGAACAATTCAAAAAATAAACTTTAAGGTGGTTTTAATCGATTGAGTAAACCGAGATATGCAATTGATGGATGAATAACAGATGTAATATTGTGCAGCTTTAAGCCCATTAAAGATCACGATAACGAAAAGAATTTAGCCTACAAAATTTATTATCTACTACCCTCCCATTTTTAAGCTATCTACAGATAAATTAATTGGTCTAATCCGTCTTGTGACCCGGACCACTCATTTAAGACAATTGTCTTTTCAGTTTCGTTTAAAAGCGTCCACTGAAAAATAATGAAAGAAAAAAACTAAATTATGTTGGGCGATGTCTCTACTAAGTTTACTCCCGTCGATATTTTTTATTAAACTCTAATTTTTCCAAACGATTTAAATGTTAAATTATCATTTACCAACTCCGATTAAGCATTCATGGAGTTATGAATCATCAATATTGATACACTATACATTTTTATAATTTAGTTGATAGTTTAAAAATTCAAAACAGTACGAATTACGAATAATTAATATTCCTACATCCAGTTGTTAAAAATGTATTAATTTAATAGTTCTCTAAAAATTAATGGACTAACCATACTTAAATAATTTTTCAAGGGTCCATTAGATCGCTATTTATGCGCATTGAATGTTTAGTGATTGTTTATGCATTAATGAATGTAAATTGATAAAAAATGTAATCGACAAGTTACTTAAATAGTTTTTTTTTTTTAAATGAGATGGAGAAAATTGTATTAATGAAGACAAATACAACGACATGGGAACACTCAAATCTAAATAAAAATTCTTAATTTGTGTATGATACTTATTTTCGAGATACAATAAATATAGTTTGTGGTAGAACAACATTAAACCAAACACTAAACTGTCAATTAATTTAAACAAATTACAGTTTAAAAGATTTTACATATTTATATTGTACTAATAACTAATATATTTTAAAGCTTTTCTTTGATAAAATTCAATATTTATAAACAAAGAATCAAAAATTCAAAATAATAGATAAGTAAAGAAAAACTGGTCTAGTTTTAATAATGACTAATAAATTATGCCTAAAATTACATTTTGAATGGTTAATGTAATTTCCTGCATTAATGAAAATCATTCTTGGAGGAAATTAGTTTAAATATTTTGAGGTCATCATTTAAAATCATAAAAGCTGATGAGAATTTAAAAAATCAAATCATTATAACAATATTAAAACTATATTAAAAATGTAGAATGGAAAAATATAAATCCTCAGCGA